CTCCCAGTCAGACTACACGGGGATCAGGGACCCACTTGAGGAGGCAGTCTGTTCATTCTCAGAGCTCGAACACCATGCTGGGAGAACCACTGCTCTCTTCAGAGCTGTCAGACATGGGGGTTTAAGTCTGCAGAAGTTTCTGCTGCCTTTTGTTCAGCTACGCCCTGTCCCCAGAGGTGGAGTCTATAGAGGCAGTAGGTCTTGCTGAGCTGTGGTGGACTCTGACCAGTTTGAGCTTCCCAGCTGCTTTGCTTACCTACTGAAGCCTCAGCAATGGTGGACTCCCCTCCTCCCGCTAGACTGCAGCCTCGCAGGTTAATCTCAGACTACTACGCTAGCAGCGAGCAAAGCTCTGTGGGCGTTGGACCCACAGAGCCAGGCACGGGAGAAAATCTGCTGGTCTGCCTGTTGCTAAGACCATGGGAAAAGTGCAGTATTTGGGCGGAAGTGTCTCGTTTTTCCAGGTATAGTCTGTAACGGCTTCCCTTGGCTAGGAAAGGGAAATCCCCCAACCCCTTGCACTTCCTGGGTGAGGCAACACCCTGCCCTGCTTCAGCATGCCCTCCGTGGGATGCACCCACTGTCCAACCACTCCCAAGTGAGACGAACCAGCACCTCAGTTGGAAATGCAGAAATCTGTCTTCTTTGTTGATCACACTGGGAGCTGCAGACTGGAGCTGTTCCTATTCAGCCATCTTGGAAGCAACCTTAGTTGGAAAATTCTAAAGAGCAAATTTCTTGATATCTAATATGGGACAGTTAGTTCTACTCTTAACATAACGTTGAAAAAAAGAAATAAAACGGAGCAGTTAGGATTTATAAATAGCTTTTCTCCCCAAATCTGCTGTTCAAGGTGGCAGGTTCACTACAATTTGAGAAAGTCAAATTTAAATAGGAGATACTGTTGCTGCCACTGGGCTGTCAGTGCAGGTTTTACCATGGACAATGCTAATACTGAATGCTTGATACTCTTTCTGAATTTTGTTATGCTTGTCAATGGAAACTGGATGTGGCAGCCACCATTCTCAGGATAAATCCCAAACTCTACATTGTTCCTTATATCACTAGATTTTGTTCAGAATCCAAAATGGGTACACAGGATTCATGGAGCCAATGCAAGTCCTAGTTATAGGAAAGGCTGTGTAAATATTTGATATCTATTGCAAAAGGTGGAAGACTCATAATTCTCTAAACTCAAATTGCTAAGTGGCCAAAGTGACTGTCAAATATCCCTTATACAAGTCTAAACCAAGGCTTAATTAACCTACTCTCCAAATTAGGGCACAGAATATAGTCCTAGTCCTGTCAGCTCTCCAGGTGTGTCCTTGTGGAACAAGCCAAGGTTACCAGTTAATGAATGGAAACTGTTTGTGTACCCTTCATATAAAGAATGATTTATGGCCAACCAATCCTTTCCTTCTGTTGTAGCATACTAATCAGCTATACCCTGGGTGTACAGGCACAGATTAGCCTTTTAAATTGAACATATTAGTAGTGTGTCATGAAGCTATAGAATGAATTTATTCAAAATATGTGTACAGAGAAAATATCTTAAAATATGTGAAATGTTTCTCTATAATCTTTAGAAGATACATTACTTTTGTGCTTATCTTTTGAATATTTCTTTATTTCAACGTTTGATGCAGTTATGCTTTGAGAATTCATTTCCAACCAAACTTTAGGATGTGAGTTAAGAGCAGTAAGAAGCATCTTATGTTTCTACCTGGATTCCTGATTGTTACTTCCTTAAAAACCTTATCTTAATGAGCATTTACTGTGTTTCTCCTTAAACCTATACCTTGCATAAAGAAGGATTGTATAATAATTTAAAATTTTTGAATATTAGCTAGTTTGTGTATGAAAGAGTGAAAATACACTGTGGGATGACGAAAATCCAATAGGAAATACATGTTTTCAAATTTCTTTAGTAGATAATAGACAGTGAATCAACATTTATTTAAAATGTAATGAAAAACCTGTAACTTTGTTTTTAGATGAAATTATTGAAAATAGTGTTCAAAATTTTGAATTAGAACTCCATGACCCCCAAAAATGGTGAAATAGAATTGATTTGTAAGTATATATGTATACTAAATTATCTTTTATCTTTTTTGGATCATGGGATTCTAAGTCTGAATATGTGTGTGTGTGTGTGTGTGTGTGTATACACACTAAAAACTAAATCTAAATATATATATATTTTAGGTCTGTCTGCTTGGAGGGTCTAGAAGTTGTGACACTTCACCAGCAATGAGCATATCCAGTGTTAAGATCTTGATTTCTAATATCACTCTTTAATAAAAGGAAAGGAAACCAGGGTACTTTGGAGAAGTGTCTGATTCTAGAGCTGGGCAGAGAAAATACTAGATGGGCATGGAGCACTTGAAACATTCTCTTGTGCTAGAAAGGAAGGAAATTCTCAAAAAGTAGAACAGAAAAGAAAAACAACAACAACATAATAATGGGATATGTCAAGTTATGACACAGGAACTGTAATGGGCACCTGCAGAGGTCAGTGGATCCCCAACCAAATTTGATTTGGGTATTCAGACTGATAACACCACACACACACACACACACACACACACACACACACACACACACAGAGGCTGTGAATAAATTCACTACTTGTGTAATTGAATTTGCTAAGGGGAGCTGCACATTACCTCCCAAACATTTCTGAAATGGCTTGAGAGAGCAAGGAAGGGAGACTGGCTTGGGGGTTTTTATTGCAGTTGGGGATTAGGGCCAGGGTAAGATTTCTTATATGTGAGGTGAGGCTTGACTTATTTGAATCTCCCATCAGTACCACACAAGGGAATACCCAGGCATTCTTATCCAGTTGCCCAGATGTTGGGCACAAGGGAAGAGTGAGGAGGTAAAGCTTAAAGGCTGTTGACACTCAAACATCAAACAATAGAGTCAGGTTTGTCATTATAGGAATCCAACCTGAAGGAGCTTCCAGTGATCAAACCTTCTGAAACAATTTGAGCAACAAAATAATGTAGTGTTGGATTATAACTCAAAATATAAAATAAATATCTTTGATTCCTTAATGGTATAAATAAATGATTAGTAAAAACATGTGAGAGAGTAAACAAATCTCTGCAGAAGAATCCCAAGTAATACATGTTGATAATCCTTCCCTCAAGTAGGTAGAGCTTAACAACTCAGCTGTTAAGTGTTGGCTGCACTTAGTAAGTAATGACTTGCAACCAGAAATGCAATGGAAATAGGGAAGAAAGTAACTTTACAGTGAGGAAACCTGGCAGACTTCTCATCGTGTGATCAAAGGATCAAGGTTAACATCATCAGTTTTAAGTAATGTTGGTAGCATGTATCTGTGATGTAATATGCTAATAATAATGGCACTCCCCTGTGGTCTTCCTCTTGCAAATACATTACTTTAGTCTAACTGTGGGAAATATATCAAGCAACCTCAAATCTAGGGCTGTTCTGTAAAATACTGTCAGACTAATGTTCCCCAAAATTGTCAAGGACATTAAAATCAGGGAAAATCTGTGTATTAGTCCATTTTGTATTGGTGTAAAGGAATACCTGAGACTGGGTAATTTATAAGGAAAAGAGGTTTATTTGGCACATGGTTCTGCAGGCTGTACAAGAAGTATAGCACCAGCATCTGCTTCTGGTGAGGGCTTCAGGAAGCTTTTACTCACAGTGAAAGGTGAATGGGGAGCAAGTATGTCACATGGCGAGAGAGGAGGGAGGTCCCAGACTCTTTGAAACAACCAGATTTCCCATGAACAGTGGGAAGGGTCATAGGCCAATCATGAGAGATCTGCCCCCATGACCCAAACACTTTCCCCTAGGCCCCACCTCCAACATTGGGGATCACATTTCAACAAGAGATTTGGAGAGGACAAATATCCAAGCTATATCAGACTGAGAAACTGTCTCAGTCCAGAGGAGGCTAAAGAGACCTAAAAACTAGTTGTAAGGTGGTATTCTGGATGTGATTTTGAAACATAAAAAGGATATTATGTAAAAATTAATAAAACTAAAACTATGGCCTGTAGTTCATAATAATGTATCAATATTGGTTCTTTATTTGTAAAAAATGTATCATTACAATGTATGATGTTAATGGGGGAAAAGGGGCATGGGACAAAACAGGAATTCTCAGTACTACATTAGCAACTCTTCTGTTAATCTTATGCTATTCTAAATAAAAAGTTTATTTTTGAAATTTATAATTCTTTTGGCTTCTAGGAATAGATAGTAATATTTTACTTTTTTTAACCTAGGCATTTCATGAGCACTCATCTATAGATTATAATTAATAAATTGTTATTTTCTATTAATAAAGAAATATTACTATCCAGTGATAGTAGAAAAAAGTATATATCTTTATGTAATTGAACAGATGGTATTTTGTATTGGTATAATCATATATAATGTAAGATGAAATAGCTTTTTGAGGTCAAATTTGAAATTTAAGTCTGTTTTTCAGGAATACAGGTAAATCATGACACCAAGCTAACAAATGTTCTTAATTATAAGACATGTTTAATAAAATAGAGAATATATGTGGGTGTAAAATGAGGTAAGAGTTTGGGGAATAAAAACAACTTCTTCATATTTTACTTTACAAGCGATAATTGCCTTATATTTTATAAATATAAAGGTGATAGTTATTGTGAAACAATTTGAACAGAGGAAAAACTGCTCTCAAAATAAAGAATTGAATAATTATTAAAGTGTACAATGAGTATTCTTAATTCAGGAAACTATGCTGTGAAATAAATGTTTCAGATGCTTACCTAAAATAAATAATTAATAATTAGCTGGTGGAATTATATTTCAACTTAAAAATATGTTTTTCTTTTGTTAAAATTTATGTTTTATTAAAAAAAGGTATAAATTTAAAAGAGATTAATATTTTTTATATTTTACAATGGATATTTAAATACTGTGTTTTATGTAACGTTTTTAAAAGTCATTTAGTGTATGACTTCATTTCTTTGAATTTTATTTTTTAGATTTCTGGACTTCAAGAAATATTGAAGAATGTGGAAATTGGACATAGTTACCATGCTCCTGAAATGAAAGGTAAATGTAAAATGTGATGAAGCTCTAATTTAATATAGTTTGGTGATTTCTCAACCTTATCAGTGATTAATATTCTAGAGATATTTAAAAGTGAATAAGTGGTGGCTATTTCACAAATTAAAATTTTAATAAAAAGATTAAGAAGAAATATAGATATACTGTATGGATTAATTATAGAGAAAAACAAGTCAACTATAATGGAAGGACTTCTGTTTCTGGTCATTATACCTGGTACCAGACTAGCCTTCTCTATATAAGTAACTCTAAAGCCAAGCTGTAAGATCGGACAACTCCTTTTAGGCAATAGAAAACAGACAGCTCAAGTAACAGAAGGCACTTGGCAGAAGGAAAATTTATAAAGTGAGCTCTGCCATCACCATGGCTTTGGGTCTGTGGAAGGTTCCAAACTGAGCTTCGTGGAGATGGATGCCAATAAGAGCATGGCAATCCTGATAATTGGAAATATCAGAGACCCTAGTTTCACAGCTTTTGAAGTCACTAGAATCTGTGGGGAAGGACATCAGAGAAGAGAGCTGCAATGAGGAGTAGCTCAGTTTGTGAGGGAGTTTACTATGAGTCCTTAACTGAGGCTGCAATACAAGAGAGATACAATTATATAGGACCAAGAGGAGGCCAGAGATTCTAGAAGTTAAGCAGTGATGGGAGACATTGCACATCTGGCCATGCCTGGGTGGAAAGACCTCTTTCACACTTTGTTAACAACACATTAACATTCAGCATCCCATATCCACCTTATAAACCAGGAACAAAACTTACACAGCATTCTTAGAGAGGACACAGAATTTGGAGTTTGAGTCTTGCCAAGTTATAGGGCCTTGAGAAACATTTAGGGCTTTCCATGGATCCACCCTTACGAAGCATAAAATCAAGCCAAGGATTTTAGGGTCATCAGCCAAAAATGGAACTGCCTTCTAGAGCAAAAAATGACATCCTTTTGAGGAAGACAGTCATCTAGAGTCTTTACACTCTTTTACCCATACTTCCTAGTACATAATTAAACATTTCTAGATATGAATAGGAACAGGAAAATGTGACCCATAATCAAGACATCAAGCAATACATGGAAACCTACCCTAAAGTAGCTAAATTGTTGCATTTAGCAGATAGAAAGTACTAAAGCAGATATTTTGATTATATTCAAGGACTTAAGGGAAAATATTAAGAAGTGAACAGATGGGGAATTTCAGCTGAGAAATCAAAACAAGCATACATACCAAACCAAATTGAAGTTCTATAACTGAAAAATAGAATAACTAAAATGAATTTTTTTTGATTTTTGAGACGGGGTCTTGCTCTGTCACCCAGGCTGGAGTGCAGTGGCGTGATCTCAGGTCACTGTAGCCCCTACCTCCCAGGTTCAAGTGCTTCTGGTGCCTCAGCCTCTCCAGTAGCTGGGACTACAGGCATGTGCCATCATGACTGGCTAATTTTTGTATTTTTAGTAGAGATGGGGTTTCATCATATTGACCAGGCTAGTCTTGAACTCCTGACCTCAAGTGATCCACCCGCCTCAGCCTCCCAACATGCTGGGATTTCAGGCATGAGCCACTGCACCCAATTGAAAATTTTGTTGAATGTATTTCACAACAAATTAGAGATGACAGAAGTGTCAGTAAATTTCAAGAGAGATCAATAAAGGCATCTAGTCTAAAGAAGAAAGATAACAGATTTAAGGAAAACTTGCCTATTTAAGATATATAAAATTAAAGTCTCAAGAGAAGAATGAAAATGGAGCATAAAAATATTTAATGGCCCCAAATTTCCCCAAATTCATGTAAAGTATAAACTTAAACACCTAAGAAGAGAGCTAATTATACACATAAAGAGAACCATTCCTGAACACACTGTGTTGAAATTGTTGAAAATTGAAGCGAGAAAATCTTGAAAGCAATAATATAAATACAGGCTGATTTCTCATAGGAAATACTGGAGGCTAGAAACAATAAAATGGTATTTTTAAAGTGTGGAAAAAATTTTAATTCAAAATTGTATATCCAATAAAAATATCCTTTAAAATTTAGATAAAATGTAGGCATTTTAAGATAAAGGAAAACTGAGAGATTTTGTTGCAAGCCTTTCTGTACAACAGGAAATACTAAAGAACTTTCTTTGGGTCAAAAAGAAAATTTGCCAGAAAGAAATTAAGATGTACCACAATTGAATACAGAGAATTAAAAATGTTAAATTCTGGTTAAAATAAGAAATATGTTTTCCTTTTCCAATATCCTCAGAAGAAAAGTGACTGATTAAAATAAAAATTATAGTGTCATAAGGTAATGTTTATAAGGTATATAAAATAAAAGGAAAATAAATCGAGGTGTGATGGAAATGTTTTATATCTTAATTTTGGTAGTAGTTGCATGCCTATTTATATTTGTCAAAACACACCTAACTGTACAATTAGAGTACATAATTTACATACAATAAAATGCATAAATTTAAGTATACCTGTGTTTATTTTTGGACAAAGAGGACTTTTTTTTTTTTTGGCTCAGATGGCTAGAAGACACAGGCAGTGTTCTCAGACATGACTAGATCCAGAAGGATTATGTCCCTAGGACCTGGTCGCTGCCTCTCTCTTGTGAGCTGGCTTCATTTTTTAAAAAGGATAAACTTTATTTTTTAGAGCAGTTTTAGGTTTATAGCAAAATCGAGCGGCAGGTACAGTGATTTTCCATATACCACCTGCCCCCACACGTATACCACCTGCTCCCAGACATAGCGTCCCCTATTATCAGCATCCCCTACCAGATTGATACAGTTGTTAAAACTGATGAGTGTCCATGGCATTATTATCACCTGAAGTCCATAGTTTACATTAGGGTTCACTTTTGGTGTTGTACATTCTATGGAATTCAACACATTTATGACATGTATCCAACATTATAGTGTCATGCAGAGTAGTATCACTGCCCTAAAAACCTTTTGTGCTTTGCCTATTCATCTCTTCTCCCTTCCTACTTTTCTAATATTTTATGTTAAAGTAGTATCAGTTATGCACAGTGATTCCTAAGGGACTATGCACAAGGATGTTTATTGCAGTCATAATAGTAACACAACAATACAAGCAATCTCACTTTTTAACCACCAGTGAATGTTTATAGTTGATCATACAATAATAAAAAGTCTCTAAAAATCATGCATAAGAAACACTTATGTTACAATGTTAAGGAGTAAAAACATTTATATGGTACAAGTATATGCCTGTTGAATATATGCAAAGAAAAAATATTAGAGGGTACATATCAGGATTTTAACATAATTTTCTCTATGTTATGTGACTACTTCCTACCCTTTTTCTTTATTGTGTCTTTTACAAAGAATGTACATTTCTGTCAACATCAAAAATTGTTCTAATATTAAGATAACTTAAGAAGAATATAATCAGATATAAATATTAAAGGATGGTTTGAAATTATCATAATTTCATGAACTGTAACTCCAAAAATGACTGAATATTCTGAAAAAGAATATATGTAAAACAGTTTAAAGGTTGAGGGACTTCATGAATTGGGTTGATGTTTGCACCAATTAATCTCTAATGATTCATTCTACTCTAATGGTTTAAATTTTATATGTTTATGCTTGACATATCAATTAAAATAAACTGATGCTTGACAGATAACTCATTTATGAAATTATCTCCTGGTGTTTAGTCTAATTCATACAAGAACATATTGCATGTTTTTCTTGAGTGATATTTTCAAGGTACTTTGGAGATTAAACTTGTAATTGTTATTTTGATCTGTGATATTTTCAAATGGCTTTTAGTCAAAAGAAATTCTGACCCAACATGGGGAAATAGTTTCTTTTAGTTATATATCCCAACTATCTGATCAAAAGTAATTATTTAAATCCTGTACTAATTTTATGCTCTTTGTAAACATGAACTCTAGTTTTAGATATGGAACTTGAAGCACTTTTCCCTAAGCTTCTGATCTCAGCATTTGTCTGTGGGCCCTTAGACTCTGTCATGTCTCCAGTTGCTAAAACTTGGTATCCTACTTAGTCAGGGACTGTAATTTGAAAAGACGAGGTGGGCGTGGTGGCTCACGCCTGTAATCCCAGCTCTTTGGGAGGCTGAGGCAGGCAGATCATGAGGTCAGGAGATCAAGACCATCCCGGCCAACATGGTAAAACCCTGTCTTTACTGAAAATACAAAAATTAGCTAGGTGTGATGGTGCGTGCCTGTAATCCCAGCTACTTGGGGGGCTGAGGCAAGAGAATCCCTTGAACCAGGGAGTTGGAGGTTGCAGTGAGCCGAGATCATACCACTGCACTCCAGCCTGGCAACACAGCAAGACCCCGTCTCAAAAAAAAAAAAAAAAAAAAAAAAGACTATCTATTGGTTAAGTGGTTGTTCCTCATAATTCCTGTGTTCTTCATATTTTCATATTACTTCCTCCCTCTTTACTTGCTCATTTAAGTTTAGTTTTAAAAATACTTCCCTCTCGCTCTCATTTATCCATTCATCCACCCATCCATCCATCTATCCATTTATTTTGGGCAGAAGTTGGCATGTCAATAGAGATTCTTCAAATTAAACATTATTTACTTTGAAGTTAGAAAACAACAAATTGTCATTTACTCTAAACTTTGGGATCAAGACACATTAATTATTATTTAATCTAAATTTAGGGAATAAGACACAAATTGGAATGATTTGGAGCAAAGTTAGCAAAGTATTTTAAACATACTTTTTTGACTACCAAAGTGATGTTTATTATAGAAAATGCAGACAATGATAACATATATTTTAAATAATCACCACATAATTGCTGCCATACAAAGATAATATTAATACTTTATTACCTAATCTCACCTGAAAAGAGTTTTCAATTTTACATTTATTCTGTCTGGTAGGTCAAAAGTAGAAAAATTTCTGGGAGAAACTATGAAATAATTATTATTGAGTAGATATTTAAACTGAAAATTATGGATGATGTTTTTATTTTTATTAAGGGTCATATGTATCGAATATTTACATGACACTATACAGAAAACACTTTTTAGTACTACATATTATGAGATAAAACTTTTTTTGCAAATTAATTTCAAAAAGCTTATGAAATCTACTGGTTTTGATTGTCATCCTTGTATTAGTTATTTTGTTTGCTATAAGGTTGCAATTTCAGTGCAATAATGCCTATTTTTAAAGCAGATCATAATGATACATATAATTGCATTTTAGCATATCTTATAATGTATAGGAAATTATTAATTCAGGATGACCTTCTAGAAATTGGAAATGCTTGGTGAAGTGAAAAATTGTGAAAGCTGACTTCAGAGCTTTGAAGAGGAAATAAATGTCATATATAGTAAAGCAAAGTAGCTCTTAAGTTAGTACTTCAAAATTAACAGTAGAACAAGTACTGATTATTTCTTATAGTTTAATTAATTGCTGCTTTTTAAGTTCGTGTTTTGTTGCTGCTCAGAATTGCATTATGAGATGCCAAATTCATGTAATTATATAGTCTATATGGTCTAATTAATAGAGACTTTTTTCAAATATAGCATCTTCTCATTTACCTTTATTATCTTTTTCTGAATTCTAATTATATAGATCTAACCAATCTCCTCATTTTAGTTTACGTGTGTTGCAGTCTCTTAGACATTTTCTATTTCTCTGGGTTAAATTATAGAAAATGTCTTCAAAACCTTTTTCAGTTAAAAAGTTCTCTTTTCAGTTTTATTTGCTCTATAAGGAAGTTAGGGAGTGGCACAAGGTAAGTGCTCTTTAAATATTTAATTATGGTATTTATGTCTTTCTGATATTTATCCAAGAGCCTGAACATGTTAACATTGATTGAATGTGTACACACATGAAAGAACAATTGAATGGGTAAAATTTAGCAATGGAAAGTACAATAAATAGAATTTCTATAAATGAAAGTGTGTTTGTTTATTTGCTGTTTGTTTTATCTCAAGAAAGTATGGATGCCTTAAAATGTTGACTTTACCTAAGTAAAATTTGGAAAACTACACAGTACCTGTTGGTTCCATAGCCTTTGTCATTAATAAGCATTAGATGACAGCCATGAGAAGCTATGATAGAGACAAAGACTTTGCTGGGATATTACTCAACATTGAGAAGTGCTGTATAGAATCTGAGAATTACATGCACTTAAGACTGAATGTGATACAGACTTTACTGTCTGCACCTTTCATTTGTTCTGTAAATTTTTGTGTAATAAAAGTGATACTTATTTGCTGGAGAGTGGAAATCATATTTATTCTCACTACATTGAGAAATAAAAACAGTATGGCGATTCCTCAAGGATCTAGAACTAGATGTACCATATGACCCAGCCATCCCATTACTGGGGATATACCCAAAGGATTATAAATTATGCTGCTATAAAGACACATGCACACGTATGTTTATTGCAGCACTATTCACAATAGCAAAGACTTGGAATCAACCCAAATGTCCATCAGTGACAGATTGGATTAAGAAAATGTGGCACATATACACCATGGAATACTATGCAGCCATCAAAAAGGATGAGTTTGTGTCCTTTGTAGGGACTTGGATGCAGCTGGAATCCATCATTCTTAGCAAACTATCACAAGAACAGAAAACCAAACACCGCATGTTCTCACTCATAGGTGGGAACTGAACAATGAGATCACTCGGACTCAGGAAGGGGAACATCACACACCAGGGCCTATCATGGGGAGGGGGGAGGGGGGAGGGATTGCATTGGGAGTTATACCTGATGTAAATGACGAGTTGATGGGTGCAGCACAGCAACATGGCACAAGTATACATATGTAACAAACCTGCACGTTATGCACATGTACCCTACAACTTAAAGTATAATAATAATAAATAAATTTAAAAAAAAAAAAAAGAAAAAGAAAAACATTTTTTTCTGCCAGTACTCTGTACATTCTGTAGTGTTTATTCCTAAGTTTTGCTTTTAAATGTGTAATACTTTCCTAAAATTTTATTAAGTGTGTATTTTTCGTTTTGTTTGTAGAGCAACAACATATACACATAAACCCTGCCCTTTTGGATTTTCCACCTTTGTTATTCTTACCATATTTGTTTGTTTGCTTGCTTTTTAATTTTATTTCTTTTATGAAGTGGCCTTTAGCACTGTCTTACATGCTACATGAAATCTGCTTATATTGCTGGAATTATCTGTTGGATTCTTGAGTTTTTCTCCCTACTGATTTTTCTTTCCTCTGATATTACTATATGCATACCCCTTCTCATATACAATGGGAACAAAAGGTAGTGTGACCTTCACAAGATTGTTTACATAATTGCATAAAATTGTATATATAAGTTGTTTAGAATAGTGCACATTATGTGGTAAAACATCAATGAGGCTTGAATGTTAGTTATTGTTTTTAATATCAGGTTGACAACCCTGGAATTTGAAGGGGAAAATATAATAAAAGAGAATCAGAAGTAAATATTTTCCCTTAATCTCAGCAAGCTGTAATTGTTGCCTTTCCTCTAGACTTCAGCATCCTAGATGCTGTGGGACTCTAGCTTATAGCACCTTCAGGGAGGACAGGCAGTTTGGATACCCAGGTCTCTCAAGTACTTCCATGTAACATGGGGTTATGGAACATTTTTTAACGTTATCGTGGGAGTTATTTTGAGGATTTTCTCCTTTGTCTAGAACTGGTATTGAATAGAAAAAATTAGTCAGAAAATAAAATAAAATAAATGCCAGCCATTTTCTTCCCTGCCTTTATAATCTCAGGATTTCTTAAGAGAGACTTGACATTGAAATCATCCAGATATTTCTTTGTTCATCGTCTTTTCTCTGTTATAAATCTAGTGTTATAATTTGTAACATTTAGTTGTTTATTTGTGTTAGTGATTATAACCTTCTTAGTTTTTTGCAATCAACTTACTGTTTAGAAATACAAGTGGAAATATGTGTACTTATATATGTATATGTATTATATGTAGAAAAATGTGAGAACTTTTTCTGTCAATTCCCCACTCTCAAATGATTCCATTAAGACTGCTTATTATGTCCATGAGAAGTAGGAGACTAATGTTACAACTATTTTGAATATTACCCTGTGTTTTTCCTTTTTGTCCTTAACATAGGGAAGCGTAGACAATAATATTTTATTAATACAATATTCTCTTTTTTATAATAAAAATATGTATTATCTAGTTTCATGTGGGAAGTTTTGTCATTTCTTATCATTCTGTTCTTCACCATCTTTAACTCTCTTTATAAATACACAAAGCCTAGTGATAACAGGAATTTGGATATATCATAACTGGGCTCTGTAACTGGCTCACCATGTATTTAGTTAACCTTGTAGTAATGCCACTCTGCATTTTTAGGAACGGAATCTTGAGATCACACCTAAAGCATTTGGTATGGTTTGGGTATCATTAATTTAACGAATTTTTTAAAAATACATGCATCATTAAGATCTTGGTTTTCATATTTTTGGTTGCAATCATTTTATACAGATAAACAGTGCAAATATTAAGAATAAATTATATTATCTTGTAGTTGGTCGTAGTCGCGAAAAAGAAAATACACCAGAAGGTCCTACTCAGAAAGGTCTTCGTGAAGCCAGAGAACAAAACAAATGTAAAACAAAGATGAAAGGCAATACAAAGGTATGATATTTGTTTTTGTTTGCATTAAGTCATACTTAACTCTCAGATCTTTAGATCCGTTCACTCATATGGTATCATTATTTTACCGGAAAAGGAATTTAGAGGTTACATATTCCAGGCTACTTGGTTTATACATGGACAGTGGAGGTATCCAAATGTTACTAGTAAGTAGTTAATTCAGGGACACAGGCTTATTAGTAGCAGAGACAGCTCAGTGGATCACTCTGCCACCTATCCCAATGTAATCATGATCATGTCTGCTCACCTGCTAACTTTTCTGCTTGAAATTACCTCTGTCTAAAAGAAATCACTCCCAGGTCATATCTTGTTATTTCTTTTCTCAAAATGTAATGTCAGACTTTACTTAGTCTCTTTAAAGGTAGAATGAAATAGCATTATGCTCCATTTAATGATCTCTTTATATCTTGAGTACCTTCACTTTGTAATCAGACTGGTAGTTTAAATCTTCGCCAGTGATTAAAGAAAATGGTATTAAAAATGGTTGGTCAAAGAGATTGAAAATGAAGAAAATTACATAAAACCTGTTAAGAGTTTAGTTTATTGTTATGAAAATTACATAAAAGTCTAGCTCTGATGGCGTGAACCCGGGAGGCGGAGCTTGCAGTGAGCTGAGATCCGGCCACTGCACTCCAGCCCGGGCGGCAGAGACTCCGTCTCAAAAAAAAAAAAAAAAAAAAAACCAAAAAGAAGTCTAGCTCTGGTAATGATTTTTCTTGTAAGGCAGTTGTTACCTTAGAGTTCTAAAATATCTGGCACTTATTTTAAAATAAAAATATTTACAATTATAATAGCTTCTTAGTAATTCTAGAAGAAGAATAGATTTGTATGAATTCAAATAATAGCATTAACTTAGGTAATGCCAATAATATTTTTTTCTCTCTAAAACATGCATTGGATTCTGGTATTGTATAAAATATTTGAATAAAATAAAGTCTAATCACTTTTTGGTTATAATAAGCTTTTTATTATAATCTTGTACTTTTTCAGATTAGTGTTTTGTTGTTTTTCTGTCATCATAATTATAGATTATGGTATGTGAGGTAGACTCACATCAGATTTAAGGATTTTTGGAATGATGGAGGTGATTGTCACCAGAAACATTTTCATCTTCTAACGGTATAAGTATTCTCTTTCAGGTAGTAAGTCACATTAAGAAGTGATTTGTTGATTCATTCACTCAGTGTTATGGCTTGTAAGAGTTTAGATTAGTAATGCAAGGTTGACCGTCTATGTGACAAAAAGCTACTAAAATGTAGGAAAAGTACATTGCATATTTATGCATAGTATGTTATTTTATGGTGTTGCATTCTGATATTTAATGTAATACCTACAGCGTGATAGAAAATACAGGTCATATTAAAGAGCTAAAGTATAAAATAAAGTGAATCCTTCTCACCTTCATTGAGTAATCATTTTTAGTAATATTTCTTTTAATTTTCTTGTAGTTATTATTATAACAAATGACTGAGTTCTGTTTCTATTTTTTAATAATTCACTTCACATGGTATCTATTGACTCCGCTGTGACAAAGAGGCATTTAGAGCATTTTACTGACTTGATTTGAGTTACATTATTATGCATGTTGTCATAATTGATAACATTTACATTTGTTCTGTAGTCTTAATTCTATTTTCTATGCTTTGTCTGAAAATTAATACTAACATTTAATCCCATAAACAGCCTTTAAATGGATTATGTTTAAGTAAATGTGATTTATTGCAGACATTGCAAATCTAACAAGAATTGCAGAGGAGGAAGGAGAATACCTGAAATGCATAGGACTGTATTTAAAGATTTCTCTTTTAAAAACAGTCACTCTCTTCTACTTCCTTGGCTTACACTCAGCTGCCCCTGTTATGTATTCTCATATTTTCCTTCATAGATTGCTTTTTCTATTTTCCTAGAGTATCTCCTTGAGTAATTTTCAAAAAGGGCCAATGGAGAGAAATGATCTAAGTTCATACGTCTGAAATATCCTTGTTCTGCGTTACACTGAGTAGATATTTTGCTGGAAATAGAGTTCTAGTTTTAAATTAATTTTTCACCAGAATTTTAAAGGCATTGTTTTAATGTCTTAGAGGATAGCAATAATTGCTGTTGGTCTGATTCTTGTTACTTTGTTGGGAAGTAAAAAATACCATATACAATACAATGTACCAGTAAACTAGTATTTTGAACAACTAGAACAGTGCGGTGTAATCATAACAACAACTTTATTTATGTGACCTACTGACTCTTAAAGCTGCTCAGTGGAGGTAATTCAACCCTTACCCTAGGGTGGTAATTCATTTCAGACTTCATGAAATTATTAGTTAAGTGTGTGTTTACTCTGGTTGCAAAACACAGTCTCAAATCAGTAATTAAGTATGTCCAGCTTTATGTAACACAAAAGCTCCACATTTGACATGAAGTTAAGCTGGGACCTTCTTTGGGCTAGACATTTGCAGTGTGGAAGGGGTTGTAATGGTGGTGGTGTGTGGCCATTCGTAAATCTTTTCCTCTTATTTTTTCCCTAGTTTGCTAACTGGGAAGGTTGAAGGTGCAAGGAGTGAGAAATTAAAGACGAATGGAAGAGTTGTTACTTGACTTGAGATACCTTATGATAGCTTAGAGTTTTTTGAACTTGGCAAAATCAGAAAGCTTTTATCCTGATGAGTACTGTATTAGTCAGGGCTCTCCAGAGGGATAGAACTAATAGGAGATACATATATGTGTGTGTGTGTGTATATATATATATCTAGAGGGATAGAACTAATAAGATATGTATATGGGGAGTTTATTAAGTATTAACTCACACGATCACAAGGTCCCACAATAGGCTGTCTGCAAACCGAGGAGCATGGAGAACCAGTCTGAGTCCCAAAACTGAAGAACTTGGAGTCTGATACTAGAGGGCAGGAAGAATCCGGCATGGAGAAAGATGTAGGCTGGGAGGCTAGGCCAGTCTGGTCTTTTCACATTTTTTCTGTCTGCTTTATATTCTAGCTGCACTAGGAGCTGATTAGATGGTGCCCGCCCAGATTAAGGGTGGGTCTGTCTTTCCCAGCCCACTCACTCAAATGTTAATCTCCTTTGGCAACACCCTCACAGACACACCCAGGATCAATACTTTGCATCCTTCAATTCAATCAAGTTGACAGTATTAACCATCACAAGTCCCCCGCTTGTCAACTTGAACCCGTACAGATCTGCTGAGATCATACATAATCTTCAAATAAAGACAATAATAAGGTCATAATCATGCCTAACATAACACAACTATCCTTCATATAACCAGAAATGCATCAGTTCCCAACTCAAGTACTATTACATAAAGTTAACAATACTTAAATGCTGATGTGAAGTCAGTAAATCTTATGTGATAAGGGAAAAAGGAAATAAAATGAAGGTATATTCTTAATGCAGTGTATACATGCACAATCATGGTTTTAACAAAAGAAGGAGGGAATACCCATGACAATTACAGTCCTCGTTTCTGCAGCTGGTCATGTGGTCGTAGCTGGTATTGATTACTACCTTGTTCTAACCTGTATTCCCTTTGCCTTCAGCAAGTACCTCAGCAGGTTGTATATTTTTCCTGGTGGAGTGACCCAAATCTTCATCCTTGAAGGATCTGAGCCATATGCAGTCCTGCCCAGATTGGGCTGTTGTAATTTCCCATTGACCATAATCACAGGGCATGACAATACTAAGAGACACCCTAACAGATCTCCTGTATTCATGCATACTCTTTGCTACCTCCATTGTGGAGTAGTAGACTGATTTCATCTTGATAGTCTGGGCCAATCACCCCAGCCAACACTGTAACTCCCTTCTTAGCCTGTTGACTTAAAGGTAGGAGGAGCCCAAAGTGTCTAGGTGGCAATCTTAACTTCCAGTTTAATGGAATACACACACACACACACACACACACGTGTATCTCCTATTAGTTCTATCCCTCTGGAGAGCCCTGACCAATACAGTGCTCATCAGGATAAAAGCTTTCTGATTTTGCCAAGTTCAAAAAACTCTAAGCTATCATAAGGTATCTCAAGTCAAGTAACAACTCTTCCATTCGTCTTTAATTTCTCACTCCTTGCACCTTCAACCATTGTTGTGTCTCCTGGTGGCAGCGTTCTTCCCTCTGGAACTAAGACCTATAGACCAGCAGAATCTAATGTTGTGTGAACAGGAAGCAAGAATTTTGCTAGTGCAACCCCTTCTGCACTGCATCACTAGGGGTGATGGTGAGTGGTGCCACTTCCACTTCCACCCCTTGATTCCTGGACCCATGAATCCTGGCTATGGGAGAAACAGTACCATATATTGAATGCTGATTCAGAGCATACACACCTTCTGGAGAACTTTGCCTCAGCCCAGCAAAGTATCGTCACCTAGTTGGTGTTGTAATTGTGACTTCAAAAGGCCATTCTACGGTTTTATCAATCCAGCTGCTTCAGGATGATGGGGAAACATGGTAAGACCAGTAGATTCCAGGAGCGTGAGCCCACTGCTGCCCTACTTTAGCTGTAAAGTGAGTGCTTTGGTCAGAGGCAATGCTGTGTGGAACACCATGATGGTGGATTAGGCATTCCGTGAGTCCATGGATGATGGTCTTGGCAGAAGCATTGCGTTTAGGATAGGCTAACCCATATCCAGAGTAAGTGTCTATTCCAGTAAGGACAAACCTCTGCCCTTTCCATGATGGAAGAGGTCCAGTATAATCCATCTGCCATCAGGTAGCTGGCTGATCACTCTGAGGAATGGTGCCATATTGAGGGCTCAGTGTTGGTCTCTGCTGCTGGCAAATTGGGCACTCAGCAGTAGCCATAGCCAGGTCAGTGCCATGGTGAGTGAAAGTCCATGTTCCTGGGCCCATGTGTAACCTCCATCCCTGCCACCATGGCCACTTTATTCATGGGCCCATTGGTGATGACAGGGGTGGCTGGGGAAAGAGGCTGAGTGGTGTCCACAGAATGGGTCATCCTATCCACTTGATT